TCGACCATTCCAAGATGGCGGCCCTACAGCTCGTCAGCGCCAATAGGCGTTCAGACTTAAAGGAAGTGTGGGGATTCGGGTCACATGTGATGTTTCAATCGTTTCATCTCTCCTGCATATTGAGACTGTTTCTGCTGTTGTTGCAGGTACTGCTTTAGATTCAAGCCTCTGATCACTAGAGGGCAGAAAATCCACTGTGATTCTGAGTAACAGCTTCATCTCTCCTGCCCTACTGACTGAAAACCACAACAAACTGTTGAGTAATCAAAAGGAAATTTTATTGAAAAGGCAAATGTACATCTGTATGAAACAAACTGTTTTTAACTACCCAGAATCTGCCCATCTCTAACGCACTTGTTATAGGAAAACTAAATCAGACCATTACATCACGTTTCTGTGCTTTATTTGGGACAAACACAACAGAACTTATGTGCTTTATCAAACTCCAACAAATAAATAAAGTGCTCCACAAACAGCTGGATCATAATCAGTTAATATGTAACAGGTGTGTTGATTAATGGCAGTTTACATTAAAGAAGATACAACTTGTTGCTTTAATAAAAGAGACTGATCTAAAGATTTTACACTAAAAACATGTTTTACAAAAACAAAACAAAAGGAATTCTGGGTAAAAATCTAAGGAGAACAATGCAAAGCTGGTAATATTTCCTGATAGTCTGAAACCTGACTTGTTTTTGTTTGTTTGTTTGTTTTGTGAAGGAGGAGCTGAGAAAAACAACCAACAATTTGACTTTTTCCACCTTAGAAACATTTTTATTTTCTGCAGGATGGCAGGGAGGTAGCAGCACCACAGAAACCCTGATTTGCTTTGGCCTAAACATGATAACAAATTTACGAAACAAAATAAGTCTACCTCTGCTAAACTATTTTTATTTTGTTAAAAGTGAGAGCTATGCTAAGAGTGACTTGTTCATGTCCTAATAAGATTAAGTTGAGGTTTTTTTCCATAACTCTGCAGTCAAATTACAACGGAGTATTAGGACGATAAGAAAACAAGAAATTACATTACAAAAATAAAGTTGTAATATTACGAGAATAAAGTCATAATTTACAAGAATAAAGTCATAATATTACGAGAATAAAGTCATAATATTATGTGAATAAAGTTGCAGTACTACAAGAATAAAGTCATAGTATTACAAGAATAAAGGCATAATATTATGAGAATGAAGTTGTAATATTATGAGAATAAAGTCGTAGTATTGCGAGAATAAAGTCATAAATTACAAGCATAAAGTTGTAATATTATGAGAATGAAGTTGTAATATTATGAGAATAAAGTCATAATATTACAAGAATAAAGTCGTAGTGCTACAAGAATAAAGTCATAGTATTACAAAAATTAGGCATAATATTATGAGAATGAAGTTGTAGTACTACAAGAATAAAGTCTTAATATTATGAGAGTAAAGTTCTAGTATTATGAGGATAAAGTTGTAGTATTATGAGAATAAAGTCATAGTATAACAAGAATAAAGTCTTAATATTATGAGAATAAAGTCATATTATTATGAGAGGGGCAGCTGTGGCTGAGTGGTTATAGCAGTCATCTTCCAATGCAAGAGATGGGGATTCGAATCCACCAGCAGTCACATGCCGAAGTGTTCCTTGGCAAGACACTGAACCCCTCATTGCCTCTGTGTGTCCCATCAGTGTATGAATGTGATCTAAAGCTCTGATTAGTCTCTTTAGAATGATTTGTTCAATTAGTTTTGTAGAGATCTAGTAGAGTGCTGTATGAGTGGGTAAATGAGGATACAGATTGTAGTGTAAAGCACTTTGAATGTTTCAATAAGATAGAAAGGCGCTATAAGTACAGTCCATTTACCATTATGAGAATAAAGTCATAAAATAAATTTGTAGTATTTTGAGAATAAAGTAATATTATGAGCATAAAGTCACAATATTATGAGAATAAATTTCTAGTATTATGAGGATAAAGTCGTAATATTATGAGAATAAATATTACAAGAATAAAGTTGTAATATTACAAGAATAAAGTTGTAATATGAGAATGAAGTTGTAGCATTACGAGAATAATGTTGTAATATTATGAGAATGAAGTTGTAGTATTACGAGAATAATGTCGTAATATTATGAGAATAAAGTTGTAATATTATGAGAATAAAGTCGTAGTATTACGAGAATAAAGTCATAAATTATGAGAATAAAGTTGTAATATGAGAATAAAGTCGTAGCATTACAATAATATAGTAATAAATTATGAGAATAAAGTCATATCATGAGAATGAAGTTGTAATATGAGAATAAAGTCATAATATTATGAGAATGAAGTTGTAGTTTTACGAGAATAAACTCGTAATACGTTCTTGGGTCGGCTCCACCTGCTGTGGACAGCCTCCAATCACTGTGTTTATGAAGTAGTTCCTGATCACTTTTGGGTCACCTTTTGTGAAATATGCCTCCATCCACATTACGTGACGATTAAATATGTCATTGCAGCCATTAATTACAATGCCACACAGCTTCAGTTTATCATAAGAATGCATATGAAACAGTGCGTTGGGCCCCCTGCTATTGTACTGCCGATGTCAACATTCATCATTTAACCGCAGTTGTAAGACTGCTTTTTTGTGTTGGAGTTCTGATAATATTACAACTTTATTCTGATAATATTATGAGTTTATTCTCATAATATTATGACTTTATTCTTGTATTATTTCAACTTTATTCTCTTAACATTATGACTTTATTGCTGTATGACTTTATTCTCGTCCGTAATGTTTTTTTTTTTTTCTTAGCGTGGCCCTAAAGCTCTGTCGTAGTCATATAACTTATTTAGAACGAGATTTTTTCAGTTTTACACCTGGAAATATTTTCTAATCTAGAAAAATAAACACTTTTTAAAGTATAATAAGAAACAAGCATCTTGTTTTGTTTACACCCAAGTGAAAAATAATTTCAATCGTCTTACAAATTTTAAATTCTGACCAAGAACGTGAAAAGGATTTTGCCAACTCTGATGTCAGGATCCAACATGGCTCCCTTCTGCATGAAAGTTAGCATGCTTGTGTCAATCATATACAGCCTCTGTTAATGAACATACTGCTCCAGAGTAACACAGGGTTACATCACTAAAACAATAACCCTGGTCACTCAGCACAACAGGTGAATGATCAGAATTTCAACTTGAAACCAGAGCTCCGTCTCGTTTGTGACATTATTCTCAGATCTTAGTTAAGACTTATGAGGCCAATCAAACGCAGCTGGATAATCAAACCATCTTCTTGCGTTTAACAGTGTCATGCTGATCTTTGTAAAAATGATGGAAAGTTTGCAACAAATTAAGAATTTTTTTTAGGTATTTTTTAGATTTTACCAGCTAGATATTTGCTTAAAATTCATGCATTTTAATTGCTATGTATTGTATGAACTGTTGTTGTCTTGCTCAGTGTTTTATATGAATAAATAAATTAATAAACTCTTAGTGTTATAGCATCTGTGTAGTACGTGTGATGCTGGCTGGGTGGTCTGTTGCAGAATCCTTTGCAAATTGAACAACAGAGAAAAAAGGTAGCCACCTGTTATTATCCACCTGAAAAGGGTCATGCTCTTCCTTCAACTTTAATGTGGCCCAAACTACAATGTGTACCAAAACAAATGTTATATCAAAATGACCAGCTCGGCACCATGATGCATGCTATTACTTTTATTGGTGTTTCAAGTTACCATGGCAACGTAATTTGCAAACAAATACACAATTTTTCTCATTGAAACAAACTATAAATCAGACATTTTTAGAGATATTACGACTACAATTTGGTGTGGTGGTAGCTGAGAGCAATGCCCCATAAATATTGAATTCAAATAAAAAATTCAAGATGGCCACCAAAGCTAAAATGAAATGTCTTTAACTCAGCTATTTTTACACTTACAGAGCTGAAATTTGGTGTGTTTATAGCTGTGAACGTTCCCCATCACATACTGAATCCAAATCAAACATTCAGGATGGCCACCATAGGTTAAAAGAAAAAAAAATACTGTAAGTCATAGATTTTTTGCCACATTGAGCTGAAATTTGGTGTATTGGTAGCTGAGTGAACCCAACACATAGTACTGATTAATCAAAAAAATTTAATGACAGAGATGTGGCAGTCTCTCTCAAACTAGACGTCAAACAAATGTCCAGGAACGTTCTAGTAGTAAAGTAAAACCATACAGTGCCAGCTCTTCCCCCACTGATCAATGAAAAAAATGGCAGGATTATTATTCTGATCCGATGCGCACAATCAGCTTGAGACTTTTCTGGAAATAATACGAAAACAACTATCAATACATTTGTCTAGCTTTAATAAAAACGAAGTATTGCTCCTTTTTTTTTTTTTTTTGGAAGTTAGCCTTTCTTTTTCCAAGACATCTTTGCTTTCCTAACAAAGTGATTGTCAGAGGACTCTACTGTTCTGCAGTTCCACCTCCCTGCCAGCAGAGGCAGCACAACAACTTACGGTGTGATCATCAACGGCCAGCATAGCCTTTCACACATTCTCTTCATCATTCATTCTCAGTGTTGCCAACTTTGTGTCTTTGCCGCTATCAGAGAGTTTTCAGAGCCCTCTAGTAACTATTTTCATATCTAGTGACAAATCTGGTATTTTTTTTCTGGTGTTATTAGAGGCTTCTGGAAACAAGTACTGTTCTATCCAATGAGCAGCAGCTGCTGTGGTTTGTTCTTTTCCAAAAGCCCTGCCCAGGATCTCTCCCAGCTCCAGTCAAAGGAGATGTTCACCTCGCTGCATGCAGACCCGACATGACTGTTTGATACTTGGAACTGTGACATTTTAAAAAATAAACAGGACTCCACAAAAGAAAGTCCATTTCTAGTTTTAACATTATTTGTATTGTTTTACTGATTTTTTGTTTCTCACACAGCATAACTTTTCTCTGAACTATTATGCAAATTAGATTATGACATAATTTAGTAACTTCTAGCAACATTCAGGACAGCCAATAGAAACTTTCCCTAGAGTTGGCAACACTATCCAGTCTAGCATGCATCAGTTTAAACATCTCCAAATCCTAAAGCAACATATCTCACGTCTTCTTTTCCTCGTCTTGCTGTGGTTTGTGAATCTTACAGCTTTAAACACTTTAGCTGGGTGTTTTCGCTGCATGTGAGAGTGCAGTTGTGGCATGTTTAGGACCACTGGCAGGAGCAGTCGGTGGGCTCCTGGATGGTGTAGCTGACCCAGGTGGAATTGCTGCTGCAGTAGAGCTGCACAGAGCGCCTCTGCAGCCCCGTCTCCCTGCAACACTTACAGAACCGAGCGTATGTGTTGATGTTGTAGTTGTAGATGCTGGCGGACGGACACTTCCCATCGCATGACACAATGTTCACCTAGAACGTTGGGGGAGATTTGAGAATCATTACATAGCAACTCAGTTTACCTTCCTCAAATAAGATATAAAGTTGTAACTTTAGCCCTATTCACATGGGATTAGTTTTACATAGGGACCACATTCTATTTGTAATAATTACAGATTGTCTGTGTTGTTAATCTCGTGTGAATTGGCCATGTCAGTAATTTGTAAAGTAAAAATGTCCCCGCAAATTACCTACTATATTTTGCTGAACTCCGAAGTCCTGTGATAATACTAATCCAATGCAAAGAGGCATCTCTGTGATTTGGACAGTAATGTGCGGGAGCCAATACATAATTAGGCGTTTTTTGTTTCCTGGGTGCATTTTTATTTGCTATTGGAAATGGAGGCTGCATTGGAGTGCATAAATAACCTTTTGTGTCCCGGACCAGCAAAAGCCTTTCGACCCATAACGGTCGCCAAAAAAAAAACATCTTGAGCACACAAGCGGATGTTACGCAATATGCAGCACGTTAACATCATATCTGGAAGATGTCCGTAAATTTCAGCTAAATCTCAGGCTTTGGTTATCCCGTGCGAATGCGCCACATAAAAAGCAGACGTTGGGGAGTAATTTATTTATTACATGTGGTCCCTAGGTAAAACTAATCCTGTGCGAATAGGGCTTTTGTGTCCTTCAGGAGTTATATAAAAGGTTTGCTCTACAGTTTGTGGCGTTCTCAGATAGTGGTGTTCAACAAAACAAATAATTAATTGGAAAAATTTATTTATTGAGCTGTAAGCCACATGTCCTGCACTGAGACAAAAAATGTGAGCAGTTAGTGTTTCTGCATATCCCAAAATAGCAAGTCAGTGCACCCCCACTGTATTCAACACTTTGCTTTTGAGTTTTAGTTACACTTAGGCCCTGTTTACACAAGAATGATCTTTGGAAACATTAATGTTTTTTCACTGTTTATAGGGATAAATACATAACTTTTTTTTTTTTAAAGTTTACATGGATCCGCTGTAGTTTCCTTGCCAGGTAGGCTTGCCAGGTGGAAATAGTGAATTGTTGCTTTAAAATTCTTGTATTTGGACCTAAACTGTCATATGTGCTGAGTGAGAGTGTTGTAAGATGAGGTGTGTTTGGTGAACATGCACACAGAAAAGAAGGGGGGTGGGTAAAGGTATTTATGTTTATCTGGCAACCCTGATCAGCTGCATGTATTGTGCATGAGGTGTCAGAATGATCATGGTTGCGTCCAAACTGGTGAAGACAGGAATGTTCCTTTGAACCTAGGATGTTGTTGGTTTGTTCCTACATGCTGAAAAAGGGTAAGCAGCACAAACAACACTGCTCTCTACCATTTATTGTAACTTGTTAGAGCAGGGGACAAAAACTTTGGCCTACAGCCGCCTTCAGTGCACATGTATAACTTCACACCTGCAGAGTATTTCACCTCTGTAGGGATTCCCTGAAAATCTTCACAATGAGACCAGGATTCAGAAACCTTCAGTTTCAGAGAGAACGAAGACTGTTGTGTACAAACAACCGAACTGTGGTTGCACTAAAAAAAAACATGTTGTATAAGCAGGGCCTTAGTGAAAACCTAAATGCAGTTTGTAAAACTAAAATATCAGAACAACTTACAGGTCTGTTGCTGCGGCAGTCATTCTTTCTGATTGTCATTCTCACCGTCACTTTCTGACATGATTTTCCATCTTCTTTGCCTGTTCAGAAATAAAATTGAAATAATAAAATCTATTAGAATAAAGGTTCAACGCTGAAACTAGATCAGTACGGTGTGATTACAGTATGTAGTGAAACACAACAAATAGCAAAGGAGAGGTGGATGGAAAGGAAAGAAGACAATGGAAGAGTCTACATGCCGATCTGCAGTTTTACTTAAACAAAACAATGCAAAATAAAACTATGTTTTTTAAAAGATGGTGTTATAGATGAACAGCAAAAAATAGGAAAATAAACATGTAGCAATATGTGTTAACAAGATGCATCCACCATGCACTTACATGAAATCCCACAGACCGTGTAACCTTACTGCATGTTAGTTCATGACATGAATCGTCTCCCAGTAAATCTTGGGACAAGTTTTTGTGGTTAATGTGATATTGTTTTTGTCCATGTAAGTGTCTAATAATGTTTTTTTTTACTCTAAAGTAACAAACTTCGTTCAGACGTGTCCATTCAAATTCTTTTAGATTAGAAAGGGTGAAAAACTATCAGTGCAATGAAACAATTAAAGAGTCTTAAAGGAATGAGCGAACATGTAAAGCTGTTAAATAAATCATAGCATAATGCTATTGGAGAAAAATATTCTCTCTTATCTTTACTTAAATACAAAGAACTATGCTTGATAGCAGGAACATATATTTAAACAACATTTTACTTGCAAGGACTCATTCAAGACAGATTACATACTGTACACAGACACATGATGCATGGAACATGTCACAGAATGAGCATCAAACAGTTTGCTGCAGACTTTTATATGGCAGCAGAGTCCAGCAGGTGTTCCCTCATAGCCAGCTGCAGTCAGACACAAAGACATGATCCATGGCCATCGGCTAGTCGGCCTCCAGATGAAGGTAAGAGAATATTTTGGGCATGGTCTCATGGTGTCAACTCCAGTGAGGCACTGTGAGTGAGAGAGTTGGCCTTCAGGCTGAGACAAGAGAATGTTTTGTGCACTAATTACAGAAAGATGTTCTCAGCCATAATATTCATACCAAAAATTCTGTAACATCTGCACAACAACAGGAAGGAAGGGGAAACAAAAGTCGCTAACTTTAAGGGAAAGTTCAGTTTTTTTTAGTGTAGTTGCATGGAGTGGCCATTGGCAGTCAGTATCCTATCTGTACAAAAAAGCTAAATCTGGTTCTCTGGACATTAAAAAATAAATAAAATAAATGCTGTTGGGGCTCTGGTAGGGTCTCCCAAGGCAGATTGGTCCTAGGTGACAGACCAGACAGAACGATTCAGAAGATTTTTATGGACAAAACAAAACAAGGAACTCTGTGTCCCTTGCCCGGACGTGGGTTATCGGGGCACTACCCTGGAGCCAGGCCTGGGGGAGGGACTTCCGGCGAGCACCTGGTGACCGGGTCTCTGCCCATGGGGCCCGGTCGGGCTCAGCCTGAAGGAGCAGCATGGGTTTGCCTTCCTGTGGACCCACCACCTGCAGGAAGGGCCATAAAAGTTGGGTGCATGATGCCATGGGAAGTGGCCGAAGGCAGGGACCTTGGCGCTCTGACCCTGGCTTACCAAAGCTAGCTCTTGGGACATGGAATGTAACCTCTCTGGCAGGGAAGGAGCCTGAGCTTGTGCAAGAGGTTGAGCGGTATCGACTAGATATATTTGGACTCACCTCGACGCACAGCATGGACTCTGGAACTGATCTCCTTGAGAGAGGTTGGACCTTATTCCACTCTGGAGTTGCCCATGGTGAGAGGCATCAAGCTGGTGTGGGTCAACTTGTAGCCCCCCGACTTGGTGCCTGTGTGTGTTAGAGTTTTCCCTGGTAATGAGAGAGTGGCTTCCCTTCACCTTCGGGTGGGGGGACGGGCTCTGACTGTTGTTTGTGCCTACGTGCCGAATTACAGTCCAGAGTATCCAGCCTTCTTGGAGTCCTTGGCAGGGGTGCTAGAAGGTGCGCCAGCTGGGGACTCCTTTATTCTGCTGGGGGACTTCAATGCCCACGTGGGTAATGACAGTGTGACCTGGAGGGGCGTGATTGGGAGGAACGGCCTCTCTGATCTGAACCCGAGTGGTGTTCTGTTGTTGGACTTCTGTGCTAGTCATAGTTTGTCCATCACAAACACCATGTTGAACATAAGGGTGTCCATAAGTGCACTTGGCACCAGGATGCCCTAGGTCGTAGATCGATGACTGACTTCATAGTCATGTCATCTGATTTGTGGCCGTTTGTTTTGGACACTCGGGTAAAGACAGGAGCTGAGCTGCCAATTGATCACCACCTGGTAGTGAGTTGGATCAGATGGTAGGGGAAGATGCTGGACAAACCCGGTAGATCCAAACGTGTAGTGAGGGTTTGCTAGGGATGCCTGGCAGAAGAACCCATCAGAGAGATCTTCAACTCACACCTCCGGGAGAGATTTAACTGCATCCCAGCTGAGGTGGAGGACATTGAGTCTGAGTGGGCCATGTTCCACACCTCACTTGTTGATGTAGCTGCCTTGAGCTGTGGCCACAAGGTTGTCGGTGCTTCTCGCGGTGGTCATCCACAAACTCGGTGGTGGACACCCCGGGTTAGGGAGGCTGTCAAGCTGAAGGAGTAGTCCTATCAGTCCTTGTTGACCAGTGGGACTCTGGAGGCAGCTGAGGAGGAGGGCAAAGCGGTGTGCAGCCTTGGCTGTTGCTGAGGCAAAAGTTTGGATGTGGGAGGAGTTTGGTGAGACCTTGGATAGAGACTCTTGGTCGGCTCTGAGGAGATTCTGGTAAACCATCAGACGGCTGAGGAGGGGAAAGCAGCACTTTATTAACACTGTGTTCAGTGAAGGTGGGGTGCTGTTGACCTCAACCAATGACGGGAGGTGGAAGGAATACTTCTCGGACCTTCTCAATCCCACCAGCACGTCTTCCATGGAGGAAGCTGAGTCGAGGGACTTTGGGGCTGATCTGTCCATAACCGTGGCTGAGGTCGCCTAGGTAGTTAAAAAGCTCCGAGGCGGCAGGGCTCTGGGAGTGGATGAGAGTCACCCTGATTTCCTTAAGGCTCTGGATGTTGTGGGGCTGTCTTGGCTGACATGCCTTTGCAACATTGTGTGGACATTGGGGGCAGTGCTACTGGACTGGCAGACTGGGGTGGTGGTTCCCCTATTCAAAAAGGGGGACCGGAGGGTGTGTTCCAATTATAGGGGCATCACTCTCCTTAGCCTCCCTGGTAAGGTCTATTCAGGAGTACTGGAGAAGCGAGTCTGATCGTTGGTCGAACCTCAGATCCAGGAGGAACATTGTGGGTTCTGTCCTGACCGTGGAACACTGGATCAGCTCTTTACCCTCACTAGGGTCCTTGAGGGGTCATGGGAGTTTGCCCATCCAGTCTACATGTGTTTTGTAGACTTGGAGAAGGCATTCGACCGTGTTCCTCGGGGATACACTGTGGAGGGTGCTCCGTGAGTATGGGATTGGAGGCCCGTTGTTACGGGCTGTTCAGTCCTTATACAAGCGGTGCGAAAGTTTGGTTCGCATTGCCAGCAGTAAATCGGACCCCTTCAGGGTGGGAGTTGGACTTCGCCAGGGCTGCCCGTTGTCACCGATTCTGTTCATAACTTTTATGGACCGAATTTCTTGGTGTAGCCAGCTGGCAGATGGTTTCCAGTTCGGTGGCTTCAGGATTCTATCTCTGCCCTTTGCAGATGATGTGGACCTGTTGGCGTCATCTTGCCATGATCTCCAGCTCTCACTGGTTTGCAGCCAAGTGTGAAGCAGCTGGGATGAGAATCAGCACCTCCAAACCTGAGGCCATGGTCCTCAACCGGAAAAGGGTGGATTGCTTTCTTCAGGTCGAGGGTGAGGTTCTGCTTCAAGTGAAGGAGTTCAAGTATCTCAGGGTTTTGTTCATGAGTGAGGGAAGATTGGAGCATGAGATTGACAGACGGATTGGTGCAGCATCTGCAGTATTGCGGACTCTGTACCAGTTCGTTGTGGTGAAGAGAGTGCTGAGCCGTAAGGCAAAGCTCTCTGTTTACTGGTCGGTCTATGTTCCTACCCTCACCTATGGTCATGAGCTCTGGGTAGTTGCCGAAAAAATGAGATTGCAAATACAGGTGGTTGAAATGAGTTTTCTCTGCAGGGTAGCTGGACTCTCCCTTAGAGAGAGGGTGAGAAGTTCAGTTATTCGGGAGAGACTCAGAGTAGAACCGCTACTTCTCCACGTTGAGAGGAGCCAGTTGAGGTGGTTCGGCCATCTGGTAAGGACGACCCCTGGGCGCCTCCCTAGAGAGGTTCTTCGGGCATGTCCAACTGGAAGGAGACCCCGGGGAAGACCCAGGACACGCTGGAAAGACTATGTCTCTCGGTTGGTCTGGGAACGTCTTGGAATCCTCCCAGAAGAGCTGGAAGAGGTGGCTGTGGAAAGAGATGTCTGGGCCTCTATGCTCAAGCTACTGTCCCCGCGACCCGACTTTGGAATAAGCGGAAGATAATGGATGGATGGATGGTTTCGTCTTTCATCCAAAAGACTTCCTCAGTCTGAGGTACTGTATTCAGCTCAAACAGCTCATACTGAGCTGAATACAGCACCTCAGACTGAGGAAGTCTTTCAGATGAAAGACGAAACATTTCTACAATTTTTGTTTTGCTTTTTGTTTCTTTTTGTTTGTTTGTCTGTTTGTTTTTTTATGTCCAGAGGATCAGATTTAGCTTTTTTGGATTTTTCTACCTGGATTATTGAGCATGCATCAGAATATCCTATCTGCAGCATATACAGTAGTAGTCAGAGAAATCAGTTTAGAAAATTAGGGAGATACATTTTTTATTGGGTATTGTCACCTCGTACTCATCTGCTCACACGGACTCATGTTTGTGCTGCTGTGTTCGGCATATTGTTTTTGTACTATTAAGTGTTTTGCGTATTCTTAGTTTAGCAAATTTCTTAGTTCTATTTCATATGGGCTTTGCCCTTTAAGCTGCACTGTTGGGTCTCAACCCGTGCGCAACACTGAAAAAACTCTAGTACACACCCACCCACTGTATGGGCCCCACCTCTAGACTGTATAAATAGCGTACGGGTCCATAGATCTGCTTCCCATTTTCTTCAGCCAGCGAGGCAACCCATGGAAAATAGGAAGAAGATGTTAGCAGACGGGATATGTCCGCAGCTCTGAATGGTTCAACCTGCACATTTGCCTCGGAAGCAGAACACAGAGGTAGGCTCTCGTTTTTTGTTTTTTTTTGTTTGTTTGTTTTTTTGTTTTTTGGAGCTAGGCAGGTCTCGAATGTTTCTGTCTCCAACTAAGAATTAGTGAGCAGCCTCAATCCCCTCCTCTCGGTTAGAGGGCTGGAGACGGGGCTGCCACCGACAGGTTGTTTTCTCCCTCCCAGCATTTGGTACGCTCGTACGTGTTCTGCCCAACATTCAGAAGTGGCCAACGCTAGACCTCGTTATGCCAGAGCCATTAGCTCCAACTTAGACTTAGTGGGACATTTAGCCGCCTCGCTTTCTGGCCGCTAAGACTCAGCCTGACCTCGTTTCTAATGTGTCAGTGTAATGTCGGGTGCAGCTTCCCAACCACTAAGATGAGAACACCTATTCCTCCTCTAGACCCAGGCCTGTCAGCTATTTTTCCCAGGGTCAGAGTGCCTCGGCATGTCGAACAATGGTCGTCCACCCTTTTCCCCAATGACCAGCTCTCAGCTAGATTCGCTGACAGAATATCAGTGAACGTCTCAGGTAGCTGCAACAACCACGTGTTTATGCTAACGTTAGCATCCCATGCGCTGCTTGCGCCATGATTTGGGCGATGCTCCATGACCACAGCTGTGTCCCCCTCCCCCCCCCCACACACACTCCCCCACCCATCCGGGTCCCACCTAAGCAGCAAAACCCAGTCACACAGTTCCTTCTGCCAGACGGAGCTCCAGGGGTATATCTAGCATGATTTCTTGGGGGGATGTGTGTAGTGACAATGTTATTGAAAGTTTGACTACAATACCAACATCATTCTAAAAGCAGAATCCTCTCACAGTCAGGTCATACGACCATACAGTCAGGTCAGCTGTTTTTCTCACACACACACTCTGCACACAGAGGGAAATTGTAATCCTTAAAACAGACGTCTTATAGATGCCATGGTTCACTACCTCTACTTCGCCAGCTCTCCTGTCAGTGACAGGTGTTGCGCACGCAGATTTGTTTTAAAAAATCCTCATCCATCCAGATGAGATTAAGAAGGAGTCATTTGTAAGATCCTTTTAGTCCGAATGGACTATTCAGCCCACATTTACAGTTGGTCCTGGACCAACTGCAATCCTCTTCAGACGACCCAGGAACAGATCAGAGGACACGTGACCCTGCCTCGTCCAGACCCTCATTCTCCTCAAATGCCTGGACGCTGGCAGGAACGCAGACATCAGTGTCAGCTGCAGAGATGCCCCAGGGCTGCAGCTACATCTTCGGGGTCCCCAGTCGCCACTGTTCCCAGAGGACGGCCTCCGTCCCCACAGCAAACCAGAGCCGGCAGAGTCCATTAGCTGGCATGTTTCTGGTCCAACCCACACCCAGGAGATGTGGAGGAGACAGCAGAAAAAATGACTGTTCGGGAGGGTTTTTGAAATAAAACACAACTTCACTTAAAGAGCAGAATCCTCCATTCAGTCATTGTCAGGGACAATTTCCCTCTGTAGGGTTTCCCAATTCAATTCAGTTTATTTATATACGTAGCACCAAGTCACAATGGAAGTTAAAGAGTTTGGTTCGACTTGAAAGGCCAGATGTAGAGCAATTTACAATATTTGAATGGGCAGGAGCTCGATGTTCCCTGCCCAGATGTGGGTTACCAGGGGCCCACCCTGGAGGCCTTGGGAGGGACTAAAAGGCAAATGCTTGATGACCAGGCCTCTACCTATGGGGCTTCGTCAGGCTCAGCCAAAATTAGTTACATGAATTTGCCTTGCTGTGGGCCAACCAACTTTAGGACAAATGAGTCGGGTGCCTGGTGGTTTGGATGGCCACTAGAGGTAGGGCTCAGGCACTTAGACCTTGGCTTAGCAAAGTTGTTTTTTGGGACATGGAATGTCATTTCAATAATGAGAAAGATGCCTGAGCAGGTGTGTGAGGTTGAGGGGTACTAACTAGTTGTAGTCAGGCTCACACATGGAGTGGACCCTAGAACCAGTCTCCTTGAGAGTGGCTGGATTTAGCCTTAATTCACCTTATAATCTAGCTGTATTTGTTACTTTTTTTGCCATCTTATTTGTTTAAAAAAAAATCTGTATGCCTTTTTATAACTGTCTATTGTTGTCTCTGTTGTCCATTGTTGTCATCATTCTTTGTTGAAATCAGGTCTCTCTTGTAAATGAGTCCTCGAGGCTCAATGGGATTTACCTGTCTAAATAAAGGTTGAATGGATGCTATTCCAAACTGGAGTTGCCAATGGGCCTTCTTATAGCCCCGACTTGACAGATATGTGTTGAAGTTCTTCTGACTGTATATTCCTGCTTCAATTCCTTTTGGGATCTCCAGGTATTGTGACAAAAAAGCCCTCTTGTCCTTTAAGCACCTTTGTCTGAGGAGGTGCTGATTAGCACAAGGGTGTGTGTTATGTGTAATAAGGTGCGAGTGCATTTTAATCAGCTCAGTACATTCAAACCTGGCAGATGTAATTTACTAATACAAAAGGCAATAACCAGCCAACCAACCAGTGAACCAGAAAAATGTTGACTGCCTACATGCATTTCACACTACCAAACACAAAAATCCAATGATGAAAGAAAAATGTAATTTTAGTGCGTATCACAGAAATAGCAGGGTAAAGGAAGGAAAAAAGTTAACACAAAGAAAGTGAAAATAGCAATTCCAAGACTGAACTCAAATATGAGTCCTACTCTTGGGAGTCATGTGAAAAACTCTTACTTACTATTTTTACCTATGAAATTGTGTTGGTTTGATGAAAAAGACCCCAAACACCAAACTGGATCTGGATCTACAGACACATGCAGATGTCTATGGATGACTACAGACTACCAACAGTACATTGTTGACAATCAACAATGCACTGCCCAGACAGTGCTAATGGGAAGGAGCTTATATGTTGTTTGCATGATGTACAGGGAGGGAATACAGTAGAGCTAAAAACACGTGTCCGCTCAAGTGTGACTTCAATTTATTGGCCTATGTCAGGATTATTGTTGCTTTTTTTGCTTTAAATTTGTCACAAATAATGAATGTCAAATGCAACAAATGCAGCATCACTATTTTTATTTATTTATTAAATTTTTACTTTACGAAGGCCTGAAATGCAGTGGCACTTGAGAGGATGTTTCTGCAGAAGAGTTGAGGTTGCAGTCAGATTTGGGACTCTCTGTAGGTTTATTTTTATTTCTTTCAGGGGAGTACATTGTTGAATCTCAACAATGGCACTAAAAAGCCTTGTTGATGTTGTTATTGAAGAGGTGGTTGTACCTTTTTCACAGTTTGTGTTATCAATGGGAGTCATTGGACTAACAGGGAAGGGGAACAGATGGAATCCAGTACCTGGTGGGATTGGTACATGATGGTAAGCTGCAGCACATTAACCACAAACCCACTTGCATGTAATTATTTGCTTCTCCATGAGAGACACTTCATTTCTTAAACACTGAAAACCACATTGTCTCAGATATGAACAAGCAACAGACAAATGGTAGACATGAGCCAATTCATTTCATACGATGGAGGATTTTGAACAAAAACAGAAAAACTGAGGTGCAAATATGTTTTAAACATGTGAAGCAGCAGGTGAAGGGGCTCTTCAGTGTCAGCTGCAGCCTACAGCTCTACATTAACTACAGACCTGCTGCTACGCTCGGATCAAATACTCACACGTCTTGCAGCATCCATCCATGTAACTTACAACAGTTCCACCAATCTGTGAGCAAACAAGAGTCAAAATGGTAAAATGGAAACAAGGACAAGTCTGAGGTTGGAGGATAATGACCTCTTCAGCCTTTACAATAATTAAAGAAAAATGAGGTCAATTATTTGTTGTCCTTCACTGTTGCTAGAGTCAGGCATAATTATATTTTCTAAAGACAAATATTTTAACAGACCCCTGAGACTTGTTGTCCAAGTCACTAAATTATTTACTGCCATTTAACACAAGCACTGGTCAAATGAGGAAGAGTATCATTGACTAAGGGGTGGTTCACAATTTTCAACATTTTCAAAAGTGTACAAAACAATCATTTCGGAGACACCCCCATCCACCCATCCCCCCCCACACACACACCACCCCAAGACAAAACCCATATGCACATATGTACATTGTACTATGGTAAAATTCAGAGTCAGAGATTCTTTATTGTCGTTGGCACCCCATGTGGTACATGTGATGTGAACGAAATTATGTACACAGGCTTCCAGTTACATCCAACAATAAAATGTAAAAGAAAAACAATGATAACATCTAAGATATGAACTAAGAAAAACAACTAAATATACACTAGTAGCATAAAAACATTACGTCGAACAACAGCACGAACATGAGTCTGTGTGAGCAAATGAGCACGCATGAACACAGCAACATGAAACAGATCAGCAGCAACATGAAACAGATCAGCAGCAACATGATGTGATTTTTCACAGTGATTATTCTGGTTAGAGATTCATGAGTCTAACAGCTTCAGGGTAGAAACTGTTCCTCAGTCTAGTGGTTCTACACGCAATACTCCTCAACCTCCTTCCTGAGGGGAGCGGGGCAAAAAGTGTGTGTGCTGGGTGAGTGGGGTCCTTCATGATGCAGGTGGCTCTCTTCCTGCATCTGGAGGTGTAGATGTCTGTGATGGTGGGGAGACTGACTCCAACAGTCTTCTGCGCAGCCTTCACCACTCTCTGCAAAGCTTTTCTTTCTGCAGCTGTGCAGCCTCCATGCCACACGTTGATGTTGGAGCACAGGATGCTCTCCACTGCACACCTGTAGAAGGAGGTGAGGACTGAGCTTCCCAGACCAGCTCATCTCAGCCGTCTGAGGAAGTAGAGTCTCTGATGAGCTTTCTTGATCAGGCTGGTGGTGTTGTTGCTCCAGTTGAGGTTGTCATTCAGGTGTACACCCAAGTACTTGTAGCTGGAGACCACTTCCACTGCAGATCCTCTTATGTTCAGGGGAGTGTAGGTGTTTTTGTTCCTTCTGAAGTCTGCAATCATCTCCTTTGTCTTCTTCACATTGATGTGAAGTTATTCTCTTTGCACCAGCTCTCCAGGTGTTCCACCTCCTGCCTGTAGCTGGACTCATCGTTGTTTGTGATGCATCCCACCACCACTGTATCATCTGCAAACTTTACAATATGACAGCCTGGATGGGTAGCTGCACAATCATACGTGAGCAGAGTGAACAGGAGAGGGCTCAACACACATCCCTGAGGAGAGCCAGCGCTGAGGGTTATGGTGGAGGGGGAGAAGTTGTGGATCCTCACTGACCTCACTGACAAAATTACTGTCATTACAAAATTGTACATGTCTCAAAATTTCAAAATTTATCACCAGCAAATTGGTTGGTCCACTGTAGGAGTGTACTGCTTAGTGGAGAAAACAGTTTGCTTGGGACTCCTCGGACTGATGAAGCCCATTGGATGGAGGGTGAAATGTCTCTCAACAAAAAAAAGAACCTGTTCAGATTCAGATGACCTGACTGAACATTGTTGGATGGCTCAAAATTGTTTAAAAAGTACAGAACTCCCCCCCCCCCCCCCACACACACACACACACACACACAATATAATAAATACTCTCTTCACAGGTCAGGCTTCTCTAAACATAAACACTACATCTTGGACCACTGGTATGACAGAATTGACATGCATGACTGAAATTTTATTTTTAAAGTCTTAAAAAAATCTACAATGCATCAAACATTGTCTAAAAGGTGGCAACATTGCTCAAGAATTACAAAAACACATCCAAAACATGGATAACCTGCCACATCCACTGTATCAAGTGCCATCAAGATGATCAGAGTTTAAAGAAAGTGTATTCCAAAACTGCACCATCTGTAAATCACCAGGAGCTTCATGTTTCAAAGAGTACGCAGCGTTCACACTGAAAGTTGGCGTAAGGACCAAACTGGAAAAGCATGTGAACATAAATATTCAGATTTATTCAACCGTGCACACGCATTTCTGCTCACCTTTCCTTTATCCATCCAGATGAATGTAGAACTGAGCACATTTGAGACACCTCCCCCTCCATTAAAATATGCTGATATGTCCTGCAATGTGTGATTCACCTCTCTGCACAGTGGGGGTCTGTTGGAGGTGCACTTCTAAGGCTGAGGCGTTTTCAACTTTATGCATGTGTTTAATATAATTACTGTAAACAAACAAACACAGGGGCCTGGATAATTTAGAGGCTTATTCATTAAACAGTCAATGTCACGAAACAAGCCGCTGCCCATCACCTTAAATGCTTTGGCTGTAAGGAACTCCAGCGCAGTTAGGACTTGGGGTTAGGGCTGAGATGGGGTAAAAGTAGGACAGCCGACTTGGGACCAGAAAGTAACGGTTCGACTCCCAGCCATTCCCACATGTTGTGGTGTCTCTGAGCAAGACACCTAATCCCTAATTACTCCCCGGGTGCTTACATAGCTGCCCACTGCCAAAACTTCACTTCACTTGAACTGGTGCCATGCACGGCTCTTGAGTGTTTGCACTGACTGAAGACGCAGTGCTGTTAATGGAGCATATTGAAATTTGCATCTTGTCCCACGGTGTGTCAATATTTGCCATGCAGGAGAACAGCAACATGTTGGTTATATAGGGCATTATCAAAAAATGTACAATGTTTTGTTCATTTTGAAAAGCGTACACCAGTCGTTGACCCCCTCCCCCACACAGTGCAGTCTGTACGGCTGTGAAAATGTTGACAATCGTGAACTGTCCCTAACGAAGCCTGTTGTAGAGGGCTGGTATTCAGATGAGGTAGGCACAGTCGTCCTGTCTGGCTTAAAAGTTGCATCTATTCTGAATCTTAATGTGGAGAAACTCCTTTGAACAAGTAGTCAGAAATACACTGGGTCAAAAGAACTAATTAAAGTAAAACAGCGTTCATAAACCATTTTAACCTTAAAATTTTTAGTTGTATTAAAAAATATAAAGTTTTGTATCAAACAATTTATTTTACAAACCGGATTCCAAAAAGTTGGCACACTAAACAAATTGTGAATAAAAACTGAATGCAATGATGGGGAGATGGCAAATGTCAATATTTTCATCATCATTTACTTTATTTCAGAAACAATATAAGATCCATATAGAAAACATAAAAACATAAAAAACAGCAAAAATGCAGAATTAAAAAGTTTTTATTTTATTCATAATATAACATAGATGACAGATCAAAAGTTTAATCTGAGTAAATGTAACATTTTAAAGGAAAAATATGTTGATTCAAAATTTCACAGTGTCAACAAATCCCCAAAAAGTTGGGACAAGTAGCAATAAGTAGCTGGAAAAAGGATATTGAGCACATAACGAACAGTTGGAAGACCAATTAACACTAATTATGTCAATTGACAACATGATTGGGTATAAAAAGAGCTTCTCAGAGTGTCAGTGTCTCTCAGAAGCCAAGATGGTAAGAGGATCACCAATTCCATCATTGTTGCACAGAAAGATAGTGCAGCAATACCAGAATGATGTTACCCAGCGTAAAATATCAAAGACTTTTAAGTTATCATCATCAACCGTGCATAATATCATCAAAAGATTCAGAGAATCTGGAACAATCGCTGTGTGTAAGGGTCAAGGCTGTAAAACTCTACTGGATGCTCGTGATCTCTGGGCCCTTAAACGTCACTGCACCTCAAACAGGAATGCTACTGTCAAGGAAATAACAGAATGGGCTCAGGAACACTTCCAGAAAGCATTGTCAGTGAACACAATCCACCGTTGCCAGCTGAAACTCTACTGTGCAAAGAGGAAGCCATTTCTAAGCAAGCTCCACAAGCTCAGACGTTTGCACTGGGCCAGGGGTCATTTAAAATGGAGTGTGGCAAAATGGAAGACTGTTCTGTGGTCAGATGAGTCACGATTTGAAGTTCTTTATAGAACACTGGAACGCCATGTCATCCAGACCAGAGAGGACAAGGATAGCCCAAGTTGTTATCAACGCTCCGTTCAGAAGCCTGCATCACTGATGGTATGGGGTTGCATGAGCGCTTGTGGCATGGGCAGCTTGCATGTCTGGAAAGGCACCATTAATGCAGAGAACTATGTTCAGGTTCTAGAACAACATATGCTCCCATCTAGACGTCATCTCTTTCAGGGAAGACCCTGCATCTTTCAACACGATAATGCCAGACCACATTCTGCAGCAATCACAACATCATGGCTACGTAGGAGAAGGATCCGGGTACTGAAATGGCCAGCCTGCAGTCCAGATCTTTCACCTATAGAGAACATTTGGCGCATCATAAAGAGGAAGGTGCGACAAAGAAGGCCCAAGACGATTGAACAGTTAGAGGCCTGTATTAGACATGAATGGGAGAGCATTCCTATTTCTAAACTTGAGAAACTGGTCTCCTCTGTCCCCAGACGTCTGTTGAGTGTTGTAAGAAGAAGGGGGGATGCCACACAGTGGTAAAAATGGACTTGTCCCAACTTTTTGGGGATTTGTTGACGTCATGAAATTTGGAAACAACAGATTTTTCCCTTAAAATGATACATTCTCTCAGTTTAAACTTTTGATCTGTGATTTGTGTTCTATTCTGAATAAAATATTAGATGTTGGCACCTCCACATCATTGCATTCAGTTTTTATTCACAATTTGTTTAGTGTCCCAACTTTTTTGGAATCCGGTTTGTAGATGGTCCAACCAATCAGCTGAATTATATGATCCACAGATCCTGAATAAGGCAAACAGCATGAAGTGGACTGAAAAACCCTGAGTTTATGTCAGTTTAATCAAAGTTAGTGTTAAAATGAGTCTGTAAGGTTTTTTTCATCATATCAGATGGTCGTGGGCTGCGCATCGTGTTTGTGAGTGCTGCTGACCTTCATACACTCGGTTTCATTGAAGGGGGGGCAGCTGAAGGCGTAGGAGATGAGCGTTGGTCCAAACAAAGTGTCGGTGCAGTCAAACTTCATGCAGCTTGACACCCAGGACTTTCCTGGCTGAAAACATCAACATCATCAGATTCTGAACTGCTGCAGGTGCAAGCTAGCTCTGGTGCAGCTTTGAAACTGAAACATTTCAGATTAATTCACAAAACGTCAACACAACAGTACTTTATCACCATTTTTTTAACTGGGCATAAACTGATGTTCCTCTAGAGTTTGTTGTTTTCTAAAATCTTTGGTCATCTGTCATTTAATGCATTAACCACATTTATCAGGTTTAACAATGTATTTTTGTTGATTCAATATGCATAATAAAAACAAATAGAAAAATACAAGGTCATTTTTTTGATGTACTTAATGTTTTGCATTTTCATTACAAAAATGATAGTTCATTTTTGGCCTTTATTTTATTTTGGATTTTTCCAATATGTATTACACACGTTTGCTGAGGGAGTTAAAAATATAGAAAATATCTGCCATTTGGAAACCAAAAAAATACTAACTTAAAATATTAATTTTTAAGTTGTTTTAATATTAAAACATTACAAACAAGTTTAATGTTTGTTAAATAGTTTTATCAGGTAGAGATTAGCGTTTCCTACCTTATAGAGCGCTGTGGTCCCATTTTCATGTTGATACAGGCAAGAAATGTTTTTACAAGCACCACAGCACATCGACTGATCTTTAGGAGGCACATAAATCTGATTCTGAAACACACAAACATTCAGATTGACTTTTTATACAAACAGAAAGTTTGCTGTCAGTGCACTGTTTTCTTTTTAAACTGCTTATTTGAGTTGTGGTGGACATCAGGGATGAGTCTTTGTCCTCCTTCTGTTCTCTATTCAACTACTTCCTTGTGACTGGCTTATTTAAATCTATGATGAAAATGATTGTTATGTTGATGACACTCAGCTCTTTGTTTAAATAAAACCTACAGATATCTGGAGCCTTGCTAATTAAATAGCTTGTGTTTTTGAAATAAAGCCCGTATGGTCCTGATTTTTCTTAAAATAATGTCAAGTCATGGGTCATACTGTTTCTCAACATCCCATCTTAATGGTTCCATTTTCCATTCAATTTATGATTGTATTATGGAAAAACCCAAGAAAGATTTTTTTATCCTTATTTTGTTATAGATGCTTCAGTTAATGTTGTTCAGTATAGTTGACTGTGCTAAAATAACATTTTAACATTTTTCAAATAATTAGATAAACTACAGCATGTCTGTCAAATCTTGCCTTGATTATTTTATTGCTATTGTCTGAAGTAGGCCTATGAAAGACACTCCCTCCTTCCAGTAGATTTAAACGCTGCAGAGGGATTAATTTCATATTACAGTAATAAATTATTGATCACATTTTGAAAAAAAATTGGCTTACTCTTAACTAAAGACCTGATGACACTTTCTTTATCTTCTCCGCCACTGATAATAAAATATGGCTCCATGCTGACGTTTCCCAGATTAGTGGAAGGAACAAAAATCGAGTAGTCTTCATCACTTTACTTCTCAAACTCAAGCTCATCAAACCTAAATGGACTTTCCTACTGAAAGACTTGTAGACTAGTAGGACTTCTACAACACAAAACTGAGAGAAATAATGCAGATTTTCACTTAGAATCACACTGAACGACACATTTCTACAAACTACTGGCCAAACGTGAACCACAGTTAGCTAGGTCTTGTAATAATAAAATATTGAATAAAATATAGATCTTGCTCTTTAAACTAAAAGAGAAAGGTTTGAGACAGGTTCCAGATAACCACATCAACTCTGTGACAACTTAAAAAAAGTGTCTTGGAAAATGAAACAACCTATTGCAACGTGAGAACAAGCTTTGACAATTAAAGTGAAGAAATCGAGAGCCTGCTGGACACGGGCACCAGAGACCCAGAAAGGAAGGACAGATGGACAAACATTGAGAGCCCCCACAAAAATCCTACTTTCCATCTTAATCAAAACCTAAAACTTTCCTATTGGTGACAGTTTTTAACAAAGTCAAACATTTATTGTTGTAGTGAACATGCAGCACACCACTTTGTAACTTAATCAAAGTGCTGCAGAAATGTGTTCAATTCAAATATAATTAATAATAATAATGATAATTAGCTTCAGTTTTTAACAAGAAACTGAACACAAAACATTAAGTACCTACAGAAGTTAGAGGTACATACAGTTAGTACTTTATCTCAGTCTGTATTTGTATGGCTCACCATAAAAGGAAAAAAAGAAATGGTGTTTTTTCCAAATATATTTATATTTGTCAGAGTGTGTTTAAAACTGGTCACAAACCAGTCACTGATGGCTACAGGCAGAATAAACTGCACAGGACATGAGAAACTACATAAACAAAAATGTTGCATTTGTCGGACAAATCAAATCAAAGTGGTGACCACAACAAATTTGTGCAAACCAATCTGAAACAGCTCCACGCATATATTAAATAATTTACAACAACCTCAGCTAAAATGTCTCAAAGTGACACAGCAGCTCATTCACCCCAAGCTTCTGGTTTCTGAGTCTTTTTTGTTATTTTTTGTGATTTGTTGCAGAATATTATTTTCAGATTTGAAAGCAGTTTTCAGAACTTCCAGCAAGTTTCAAATATGTTTCCTCGAGCCATGTTCATGTGGTCAAAGCAGCTGTTTATGCACTTTTCTTTGAGTCCTCTTAAACAGGGTGGAGGGTTTGATGCCATTCCTTCTTTAGACACGTTTTAATTCATGGACAGTCAGGCTGATGGATTCTCTGTTAACAATAGGACAACAAGGTGCCTGAAGTTGAGACGAACGCAGCGTGTTTTAATCCTGAGTCAGGAATGTCTCCTGCAAACTAACAACAACTACTGTGAAAACCTCAACAATGTTTTGAATGGGAAACAAGTGGGAAAGACCAAGACTAACACACGGTTTGGCCCTGACTCTGTGCTCAGGTGTGGGTCTTACTGGCTGGCAGTGGGCGGAGCAGTTAACGGTGGAGGTGCGTAGGATGTAGAAGCCGCTCGTTGGATCAAGGCTGCGGCTGCACTGCCGGCTGGAACACAGACCGTCCTCTCTGTGCTCCACCAGAGTCTGACCCGGTCGTAACACGCCGCGCTCACCAAACACACACACGGCCTCTCGCACTGAAAACACACACACAAGACAGAGGGCAAAGGATTTCCTGATGTATTTGTAGAAAATGTCAAACATCATGTACAACATTTAAAACAGAAAGATTACCCAATAAGTTAACTGTGACGATCCCCAGGATTTTTTTTTTTTTGCTAATTATTTATTTAGTTTATTTTAATGTTTTTTATTTTTATTTTTAATGTCAGCTGCATTTACAGGCGTCAAACTAACTTTCTAGATATTTCTTCAAAACCTGCTTTTTAACAAACAGATTTTTTTTTTATTATTACAATGCTGAATGTAATTCCTATAAGAGGATGATTAGATGATTAGTTTTAATGATTAGTTTTAAATCAAATAAATTATCTGAACTGAGTTCAATTGAACTGAAATGTTGTTGGAATAAATTAGTTGTACTTTGTAAATCAGAGTGTATTGACTTCATGTTGACTCTGCCTGAGTTGGTCAGTTTTTATTAATACATACAGTAGTCCCTCATTATTTCATGGTTCAGTTAACGCGAACTTGCTCTATCATGGATTTTCAAAATAAGATTAGACATGACACACAATTGGCTGATTGATGGATGAGCCGCACGATGGGCATGGAATTTTTATTTTAAATAATTATTTTTTTATTTAGCACCTCCCGCTCCTTTGTGCAGCCCACACTGCAAGCATCCTGCTGCAGCTGATCAGCTGATCTCCATGCAGATCGGAGAAGTCTGCGTGGCCAAAAGTGCTTGCAGGTGGCAAAGAGCAGCCGAGGCAGGGAGCTGAAATCATGACAGTCTGTGCTCTCTTAGAGCGTTTAGCGTATAGAAACATTGTTTAGAATATTGCAAGAGTGTGTGGAGGATTTAAAATGCTTATAAATATACCATTGGACTGAATTTCGACTTCATTTAACTGGGTTGAAATTAAATTTGAATGCATTGGATTGTCTTCTTCTTTTGGCATTTCCCTCTTCAGGGTCTCCACAGTGAGTCCTCCTCCATCTCTGTCCTCTGCATCCTCTGTCCTCACTCTAACTACATCCATGTCCTCTCTAACTTCATCCATAGATCTCCTCTTTGTCTTTTTCCTGGCAGCTGCATTTCTAACATCCTTCTACCAATATACCAACTGTCCCTCCTCTGGACATGTCCAAACCATTGTCCCTCCTCGGGACATGTCCAAACCACTGTCATATCACTGTCCGTCCTCTGGACATGTCCAAATCACTGTCCCTCCTCTGGACATGTCCAAATCACTGTCCCTCCTATGGACATGTCGAAATCACTGTCCTCCTCTGGACATGTCCAAATCACTGTCCCTCCTCTGGACATGTCCAAACCACTGTCCCTCCTCTGGACATGTGTCACTCCTGAAACTTTTCTCCATCCACTCCATCCTGCCTGGATTCTCTTCTTCACCTCTTTACCACACTCCCCATTTTCCTGGACAGTGGACCCCAAGTACTTGAAGTCCTGCACCTTTGTGACCTCTGCTCCTTGTAGCCTCAATGTTCCACCTCCTCCCTCTCATTCACACACATGTACTCTGTCTAACTACGACTGACTTTCATTCCTCTTCTTTCAAGTGCATACCTCCACCTCTTCAAGTTGTCTTCCACCTGTCCCCTGTTCTCACCACAGATCACAATGTCATCTGCAAACATCATAGTCCACGAGGATTCCTGCCTGACCTCGTCTGTTAGTCAGCCCATAGCTTCTGGCACTTCACTATTCCACCACCAGGTTTCCTTATCATCCATTCTCTGTCTAGATGACACACCAAGTACCTTCCTACCGGTCTCTCTAATTACTGTAGACCAGTCATCTTGAAACTCCTCACAACATTCTTCATTCCTCAGTTTCCTTTCTTTCCTCTTATTTTGCTCTCTCTTCTTCACAACATAATACTCTACACCATAGGCGTCGCAACCATTATAATGTATGTGAAGGGGACAAGTCCCCCCCCACATTAAAAAAACGTCCATTTGCCCCCCCACACACACACTTTTACTATGAAACATTAGTTCAGGCGGCGCAGTTTCTCGTTCTTCGTGAACGAATCCATTCCACTTGATTAATAGGAGAATACTCAATTTAATAAAACTCCACTCCAGGTTTTCCTGGTTACCTCCACCTCTACGCACAGAGCAGAAACTGTGCAGGCAGCCGCTGCCGAGTCTCCTGCTTCGGTAGAAAACGCGCACAGGTGCAGGAGATGGAGACACCTCTGTGTTGCTCACTCGCCAGTTTAGCACCTTAGTGCAGGCAGTTGTTGACCAGAGGGTTGATCATCAACATATATTCATGTTAGGAGGATGCTTGAGTGCAGCGCTACGTCTGTAGCATGTTATCTTAGCAGTAACTGTGACGCTGTAAGACGCTGCAGGTGTAAGAGACGCTGCGTGTTCAGCTGCATTAAAGTTGAAATGTCTTCCAAAGCCCACACCTTATTGTCCTCAAGCTTCGTGAGAAACATCATTTAGATGAGTAGTGTTGAACACAAGTAAAAATGTCTAGTGGTGATGTTTTTTATTTCTCTATAAACACAAATAGTGCTGATCTGACGATCTGTATTAAAGTGTATTAAAGTTAAAATGTCTCTCAAACCCACAGCAGAATTTACAGAAACTTGGTGAGAAATATGCTTTAAATGTGTGGAATTAAAGCAAATCTAGGTGAAATGTTGCTTTTTTGTACATTAGTGTACATTTCTTTTGCGCACACGCACACACACGTGCACGCACAAACCTACACACATCGTTGTGTCCCCCCCACATTACGGATGCTTCTGACGCCCATGCTCTACACACAACCAGCCGATGCTGTCTGGATTGTGAATTGAATAAATTGGATTTTATTCCACTGAATTCAAGTTGATTTTATTCTTTTCAATTTGAATAAAGCTGAATTTGACTATACTGATTAGAACAATTAGACTGAATTTAACAGTACTGAATGGAAATGAATTGTAATGAAATTAAATTCTGTACCGCACTCTGAAATGGCTTTTACTGTGAATCGGTGTTAAAAACAAACAACTTAAACGGTCACCTCTGTTTTTCCAGGTTTTATTACTTCATTTCTGTGCATAACCTCTTTCAGTCTTTCTTGAATTAATCAAGTAGAAAAGACAATCCTCTATGATCATT